CAATTAAGGTATCGTTTTATTCGCCTTGAAAACCCATGTGTTCGTAGTAGTTGTTTGAAAAAAAAACAAAATGGCGTATTTTTGGAGCAAAATAGTAATACGTTAATAGAAAAAGAATAACCAAACCTATCGCATAGGGTATCAAAATAAAGAAAATTAAAAGGGAATTACAAATATATATATATGTCGGAGCGTCTATAAAATAACCGGTTGGATCGAGGTAGAATGGAAGGTATATCGAGACCGCCTCTTGTGCCTGTAGTATAAAGTTCACTGTAGGTGCCGTGCACGGGAGAATCCGCTTCAGTCATTCAACGAGTGTGGTTATTCTACTAGTGCTAAGATAGTGTCGTGGTTCTGTTCGTTGTTGTAATTCTTCTAGTGCAGGCAAGGAGGATTGGTGTTGCTTAGAGGCTGCCCTGTGTTACAATGAGATAAGTAGTGTTGCGGTGTTACGGTGTGGTCAAACTGTAATTTCACTATACTGAATGTATAGTGCGCTACGTTGTCTTATTACTGATAATGATTAAACTGCGTAAAAAAAGAGAGCAAGTTGAACATCCGCTCTCACACTTTTATTATTTTTAACAAATAACGCTATCCTGATGTATTTCAGAGATCAAAATTGGAATCCTCTGTTTTAATTCTCCGACATATAAGTTATATGTTTAAATTTGATTAGGAATAATAAATGGTTAAAAAGTTTTTGATAGCGTAAAAATGAGCTATGTTTGTCTCGGATCTCGTGCTATTATATTATGAAATTTAGTTCATAAGAGTGTGTCGGGACAGAAAAGTCTAAAATAAAATAAATAATTTAAAAAATCTAAAACCCGTCTGCAAAAAAGACAATTTAAAAGTAATGCACTAAAAAAACTGAAATAAGATTGAGAATAGAAAACAAAATTAAATTAAACTATAAACAAAATAAACTCTACTTCAGTTTAACAGACTATATTATGAGATGAAAACCTAAGTTAAATTATAAACCGAAAGAAAATTAATGGTCTTTTTTGCAGTCGGGTATTTGATTTTTTAAATTATTTAAAGGGCTTTGTCGTTATGTAACAATAATAATCATCGTTAAAATCATCTTATTTGACACCTAAGATGTATTCAAATAAGATATATTACAAAATTGCTTAGTTTAATTAAAGAAGACTTATTCTTTAGAAACTTCAAGCAATTTCAATCAATCGATAAACTTGATTTTTTGTTTGACATTTTATACTTAATTTCAGTAATCGATCATTATTAAGTCGTCGTTATCTAAAACTCTTATTATACGGCATCTGTCAAGTAAATTATTACTTTCCAGAAGCCGTGCTCGAAACTAACCGCGCCAGGTTCTACTGGGACCGGGCCATCATCACAGACAGGAATATCAGTCAAAGATATTTTCAGTTTTAGTTAAGTGTTACGGAAATAAAATTAAATGTATTAAATTTACAACAACGAATATTAAAAATCTGAGTACCAATGTATTTTTAAATGGGGAAGAACTGAGCCCTGTTGAATCCACTGTTTTTCTTGGCATCACTCTCGACGCAAAGCTTCAGTGGGGCCCCCATATATCCAAACTAGCAAGCAGACTAAGTTCTGCAGCCTATGCTGTAAAAAAGATTAGAGGTCTCACTAGTGTCGAGACAGCTAGATTAGTTTATTTCAGTTATTTCCATAGCATAATGTCTTATGGGATTTCGCTATGAGGAAGTGCGGCTGATTCAGAAACTATTTTTGTTTTACAGAAGAGGGCCATTAGAACTATTTACAACCTAAAACCGAGAGAGTCTGTTAGAGATAAATTTAAAGAAATAAATATATTAACTTTGGCCTCTCAGTATATTTACGAAAATTTAATGTATGTTCACAAAAACAAAGGTAGTTTTAGCAAAAAAGTGATGTGCATTCTGTAAACACTAGGAACAAACACAAGCTAGTGATACCAGTTTCTCGACTCCACAGAGTTAGTAATTCATTCTTGGGACAATGTACACGCTATTACAACAAGGTCCCGGAAAGTGTACATGCTCTCTCTATTAGCAAGTTTAAATGTTTTGTTAATTTGAAACTGTATAAAAAGGGTTATTATAGTATAAATGAATACATGGTTGATAATAACCCCTGGGAATGAGGTGATCGCTGCCAAGCTGTTTCTAAAATAAATTTTGTACTCATATAGTTTGTACAATCATTATTGTAAAATTTGCTTTAAAAAATCCCGCTGGGTGTCTTGCTCGTTCTTCCCAGGACAGAGGTTTTTTTTCGAACCAGTGGTAAAGTAAAAAATGACTTTCAATAATAATTATACATGTGATCTATATTGAATAAAAAAATATTCCATTCTATTGTATTCTATTCCAGTTGATATTACAATTCCGTATGACAAGAACCTCGTGAAAGCTGAAACAGATAAGAAAACAAAATATCTGGACCTGGCTCACGAGTTGACCGACATGTGGGGCGGTCTGCTGTGCTTCCTAAGACAATGGGTTGAAAATACTCCGAACTGTTACTGAAAATTTCTTGATAATTAACCAATCTGATTTTTAAGATTGTGTGTAGTTCAATTATTCATTTGTGTGCAGGTAGAGAGCTAGTGACATAATATAAATACTTATATTATGTCACTAGCTCTCTACCTGTAATACATTTAGTTTACAATTTGGTACATAATTTTGGGTTGTTTTATTTAAAATATTTTTTAAATAAAACAACAAATGGTAATAAGAGTCCTCATACCGCACTACCAATAATTGGTGATGGAGCTTGCTTATTTAGGGCAATCTCTCATCTGTTATATGGGAACCAATAGTTGGCTGGATAAGAACTAATTCCACGCTTACGAAGTCGCGGCCACAGCTAAATATTATAACTATTTAAAACTCACGTGAATATCAAAAGCTAAAACAAAAACTTATCAGATTTTCCTATGCATTCAACCATTTAGCGTTGTTAACTCCAATATTACGATCCTGCACAATTTATTCATAAAAAAAAAACTTAGCGCGAAGCATTCCAATAGCTCGTTAGTACTTACGTGATACTGAAAATAAATTTTATGCTAAATCCGTGTACTTGCTAACTACGAAGAACGTCTAGAGCATCGTAGCTTGAATTCTAACAGCAGATACCGCGATGAAAATTTGAAAATCCCAACAGTTCGAGTTCCCCACAATAAATGTAACATCATCAAAACCATTGCTCCCTAATAACAGATTGATAAAATAATGATCTCTTATATTTACGCGAACACTACATATTTAAATAAAACTAGTTTTACGGATTTTATCGCGTATATTAACTTATTTTATGTATTCCCGACGTTTGGAGTACTTTACAGCACCCATCATGGTTACGGGGGGGATTGATATTATAGAAAACCACGGCTACCTCCAGATTAAAAATTATTTATTTTTGTTCCGATCTACGCAGTATGAACTTACACTTTCTGCAGACTGTCGACTTTCCAGACCGTCGAATCTTTACATCGACTCGAGTCTACTCTTTCCGGATCACCCCCGTCACTACATTAGATTTGATAGACCACAAATCTTTTCTAAAGAAAACCGATTCCTTCCAAGGATGATTCGCGAGGCTATTGAAGTCAAAAAACATCCTAATTTCAATAGAGAAGATGGCTGGGTGCTACCACCTGCTTGGGATCCTATAATTAATAAAATTAAATCCCAACCCAAGCATACAACTGCAAGACTTCAAGATACTGTAAGTTCATACTGCGTAGATCGGAACAAAAATTAATAATTTTTAATCTGGAGGTAGCCGTGGTTAACTACGAGATTGGGACGTCATACACCTCAGTCCCCCCGTGACCATGGGTGCTGTAAAGTAATCTAAACGTCGGGAATATAAAACTAGTTAATATACGCGATAAAATTTAAATTTATATAAGAAGTTTTTTCTTATTAACATAGCAATGGATTTCGAACGTTATAAATATACTAGTAGTTAGCGAAAATTGTCTTAAATCGTGGTACAGGGGTGCTACTCATTTTGAATTCTTAATTGACGTAAACAAGAAGAATATTCTTAAGTGTTGATACTTTAACTAACATCATAGTACTGATTTTATAAAGACTTAATGAGACTTGGCGTATAAAATAACGTGCTCAACAAAAGCGCCCTATAAAGTAAACACTGAGAAGATACTATTTTTAAAGAACTTTATAAAAGAAGGATGTTCTTAGCTTTCTGTGTATATGTACAGTACACACGCATAGTGTTTATGAGCAGCATCCACTTACCATCAGGTGGACTGTAGGCTCGTTGTGTAAGTAGAAGTGACCCACTTTATTAAATAAAGCCTCCGAGCTACCACAACACTTTAGTTAGGATAATATTATATTCAGAAACTAGCTGTTCCCCGCGACTTCGTTCGCGTGTTAGGGTTTTTATATTTCTGCGCGGAACCCTGATTCTTTCTCTAAAATAAAAGTAGCCTAAGTTACTCCTTATGAAATCAGCTATCTGCCAGTGAAAGTCCCGTCAAAATCGGTCCAGCCGTTTCGGAGATTATCCGGAACAAACAGACAGACAGACAGACAAAAATTTTAAAAATTGTATTTTAATTATAGGTATCGTATTTACTTTCATATGCATTAAGTAAAAAAGTGTAATTTTGACATTACAAACAGACACTTCAATTTTATTTATTTGTATAGATGTATAGATGGGTGTGTGTTGGAAATATAAAGGATTCATGACGCAAAATCTTAATATACTATAGGATATTATCACAAATATTCACTAGATTCTATTTCAAAAAGTACACAAACACAAGGGATGCATCAACTTCATATCAATTTGATCGGAAATCCCTTTCAGGTTTTTCAATAAACACCATATTTTTTTATTATGCACGGATGTTAAAAATGTTAATTCTAATTATAATCATTTCAAATAAAGCTCATATATTATTAGAATAATTGTAATAAATTCAGCACTTTAAGAGCAATAGTATCTGTCCTCCACGGTTTGGCTTAGCAATAGGTGAGAAGTTCATTGATGCTGCAAGGCTTGTCACAACATTCATTGACGACGCCCGGGTAACGCTTGCCTCGAGATGGGAGCGACATGCTTCTTGCCTTATTGGATGACATCCAGGGCAATCCAAGTTGAGCCTCTTGATCTTTCAAGTATGGTAAAAAAAATTGCCCTGTAAAATGAAAACAATCAGGATTTACTTATAAGTTTCTTAAGAAAAGCTCCTGTTTTCATCGCCATAGTAATAATAATTATTATTTATATATTTCTCACCACAAACGATATGAAAATACATTAGTGTTACATATCTATTTAACAATATTATGTCATTCGTGGGAGACTGAAGCCCGTGAAGGTTTAAAGACCCGTATTACAGGTTAGCCCCCTCCCCGAATTTACTAGGCACTTAATATTTGTGTATATTTATGAGATTATTTGAGGTAATTGTTCCGTGTCTGTGTATAAAAGAGTGTGAAGATATTCCACGAGTCTATTTATACGTGACCATTTGTTGATTTCATAAATAGACAATTTTTGGTGTAATTAATTATATAGTAATTTATTATACAAATACGGTCCCAAAAATATGAAGAATTTCCTTGCAAAAGACGTTTGGAAGGCACTGATCAAGCTACAAGATGATAACGGCTATATTTCTTTTGAATTATTTTTGTAATTGTGTGTTGTCTTAAAACTATATGCAGCACGAATAACTGTCGAACTGTAAGAACTTAGACATCACCATCATCAGCCCCTAAAAGTCTGCTGCTCTGGCAGTAGTGGGTTCTTTTCATTGTTATCTTTTATCACCACTGCCATCCACGGAACAAAATGGAGTTATGAATTCTTTCACACCCCACACAACACACTGATAATACAGAGCACATAAAAATTGTGTAACTGCCTTAAAATAACTATTTCAAGAAATGCACGCCTTATGTGCCACGTCTAAAAGGACTGTCAAGCATTGGAGTTAATAAGCTGAATGATGTATATGATTTTTTTTGTATCCAATTGAAGTGACAATCAAACTTTCAGTCTAACTATGGACAAAAGAAGGACCAAAAACAAAGAAGCCTACAGATGCCTTGCCACATATGAGGGCTAATAAAATGACTCACAAACTGTAATTGTACTGCATCTATATGCTTCAGACCACAACATATCCTTGCGACAGAAATAGGTAAGGACTTCGTATTTTTTTTTGGTGTAAACCGAGCACACAGTCCACCTGATGGTAAGTGAATGCTGATGCCCATAGACACCAATATCTACTCTCGATTAAGTATCGAATGCAGATGCGTTGTCACCCGTGAGGACTGAGATGGAATGTTTCGCATTTAGTAAAAAGGGTCTCCTATTCTCTATACTCGCCATATAAGTAATCCCCGGTTGAGCCGAACCAATAATGCTACAACCACAGTATAGCTACTGCAGGACTCTACCACGTATACGTAAGTTATGTACTAAATAAAAAATAAGTATTTAGTAAAGGGTACTTCAAATTTTTGCAGTCTTAGTATCATCATTACCGTTATTAATATTTTATTGGAGCAATAAGTAGAGAGCACTTGCACATTGCAGTTGTTCATGAGCGGTGGTAGTCACTTACTATCAGGTGAGCCGCATGCTCGTTTACCGTCCTATAAAATAAAACCTAATTCTTTTTCCATAATAAAAAGGTAGCCTATATTACTCCTTATAACATCAGCTATCTGTCCAGTGAAAATTCCGTCAAATTTGATTCAGTCATTTCGAAGATTAGCCGGAACATACAGACAGAAAGAGAGACAGTCAGGCAAAAACTTTAGAAATTGTTTTTTGTGATAACTACCGTTTATATTTTTATATGCATTTAGTAAGAAGCTGTAGCTTTGAAATTACAAACAGACACTTCTATTTTATTTATTTATATAGATCTCGTTTGATACGAGGTTGACTTCATGATAGCTATATCTATGTAAAAAACAAGATTTTGTGTTCATCACAAAGTCCTCCTTTCTTAGACCTATAAACATTTTTATTTCCTTATTTTGTAAAACTTGTATCTTGAGAGAAGTACCCAAAAAGAAATATTATATGACATAAAATATGGGTGTATCTCTTGATTTTGACGATTTAGAAGCTTTACAGCTCCAAGGGACCGTAAATCATAATATTACATATTAATTTAAACTTGAAAAAGGGGTTTGACAGATTAACGTACAGACGGATGGACAAACAAAGTAAATAAGGCTTCCCTTTTTCAGTATTGAGGTAGGGAACCCTAAAAAAACTTACCATACATGGTTCCTTTTGGTTCATAAGCTTCAGATCGTTTATCGTAACCGCCCTCATCGAAGCAGAGGAGAGCTAAAGCCCTTGCCAAGGATCTGCCACAGTAGACCTGAGGGTTTACGTCCTGGAAAGATATCCCGCCGCCGATATGTCCACAGCACATTGAAGCCATTGTCACAAAAGTGATGAACGCTAGAGTTTGTTGAAATGTCATCTGGAAAAAAGAAATCCAGTACGAGTAGAACTCGCGCTTTTAAGTTTGCATGACGCTTATATTGGTAAAATGCCCAAACGTCTAAACTAGTTAGGATAAATCTTAGCAGAGAGGTTGATTGTGATCTGATATAACACATAGGCTATCCACTGCTAAAACTTAATTTAGTAACTATCTGTATCGACCGACGAATATACAGAGTTTACATCTATGAGCGATAATTTAAGCGACGTCTTGCTTGAGACAAAGACGTTTGTGGCTACAGAGCTCTATACAAAAGTGGCAACATCGATTTTGTGTTCTATGTCGGGATGGGTCAAGACACTAATCCGCGCGTTTATTTGCCACGGTCTAAAACCATGCTTTATTGTGATCGGAGCAACCATCTTGCAACATGTTGCTTCAATTATCACGATTGCTGACAACGTTTTTCCATTTCTAGCAATAGTTCAATTTCTTGAATTGATTTTCCTTTCATGTTTGGCATGCGACCGCCGGAGGCTGGAAGTCGTCGAGTCTGCGTGCAAGACGATTCGTAAAGACTTTTGAAAACAGCACGTAGACGCGGCTCTGAAGGAAATCGGTCTGTAGTTCTTCAAGAAAACATTGTCCCCTTTCTTGAAGAACAAGACTACCGCACTTCTGCTCTACGCCTCCGGAGTAGTGCCCACATGCAAGACTGAATTAAAGAGCTTCAGAAGAACCTCAAGTACCGGTTTCCCACCCGCTTTCAGAAGCTCCGCTGTAATTCCATCCACGCCCGTGGACTTGCCGTTTTTAAGTTGCTGGAGAGCCATTCTAATCTCGCTCAGACTGATCTCCGGGATATCATCGGAATAGTGTGGGATAAGACTTGCTCTTAGATCATTACTCACACTTTCGTGTGGCTCCAACGATGACGTATACAGCTGCTCATGGAACCTCTCAATCTCACTCAAAATCTCAGGTGTCCAGGAAATAATCCTGCCACATTCGATCTTCAGCTTTGACAGTTGGCTCTTTCTAGTAGACAGATGTTTAATACGAGCAGTATCAAAGTTGCGTAACTCCCACAGCATGTATTTGGAGATTTTTCTGTTCAGTTGCCTGTATTCTGTCAAATCTGTTGAGGGCAACAGCTTCATTTCCCGTCTAATAACCATGAGATTAAGAGTGTAATCGGAGAGTTTTTGTGTTCTTCTACGGCGGGTCTTGCAAAACTTAGCTCCGACCGCATGAGCAGTTTCCAGTAGCTTGTCACTCATATCGTCCACTTTATTGCATTCTTCTAGGAATTGAAAACGGTTTTGTAACTCGAACTGAAAGGCTTTGGCACTCTGGATTCGAGTACGAGAGGGACGGAACGTTGACTTTATTAGACCTCTCCAACTTAACGTTTAGGTTCAGTGTGCCTCTAACCATTCGATAATCGCTACCAGTTTTCACCATCGCGTTCACTGAGACATCACTGAACAGTTGCCGTCTAGTCGTCATAATGAAGTCAATAGTATACTCCACGTAAACTCTACTTCGGTTTAACAGACTATATTTTGAGCTGAAAGCCTAAGTTAAATACCTGCATTAAGTTTAGTAACAGGCGGGACCCAATTGCAAAATATAAACCGAAAAAAAATTTATTTTATTCCCTTTTCCTTCCACGGTGATACATTGCGAATACGCGTAGTATTTAAGGCGTGTTGAATGATAATACATAGTACATCTTAATTATTATTGTTCCTCAACTATTTTATTGGTTATTATATTTCGCTACCAAACAAAATTACTATAGAAAGTTATTAAAGTAATTTTAACTACATTACTTACCATGTTACTTCTTGTGGTTCGTCGACGCGTCACCTGATTCGAATGTGAAGAAAGGTGTGATATTTTCCATTATATACCTTTTTCCATACATGCTCTTATTAATATTTAACACCATGTCAATTTAAGGTGTAAGCACTTGTTAAATGAGATATGAAACTTAAGGTCGAGTTTGATTGAAAATTGAATAAATTATTTCAGTTAGTGATTTTAATTTGTTTTCAATTTTATCTTAATAAAAGGTATCTAGTAACTTGAAAGTTTAGTCTGTGTTGATATCTCAGCCGGGGTTTGCATTTATGCAAATTGTCGGTTTTCCGACTACGTGAAGATTAACTACCAAATCTTCGGAAGCCACCAACTTCCCAGGAGATGAAATGAAATTAAATGGAATGACTCTATAGGAAGGAAAATAACGGAAAATAAAAAAATAAAATTATTTTTTTGACGTAAGAAAATTAATTTTGTTCATTTTTTCATTTTTCATTTGCAAACATTTTAAAAGCTTACAGTAGTATTAATCCAAAATGCTTATAAGGTTATATAATTTATTAATGTTCACAAGCAAAACACTACCTATAATTATCAAGTTGAAATTATATTACATTATTTATGTCAATTGATTTAATTAAATAAGAAAATTACTGTTTATACTCCATTTATTACAACATTAAAAAATACTCGTAGGAGCAGAAGTTGAAAACATTTTAATTATAATAATAATAAATTTACTTATTTACCAGAAACACTTAGCCAAAATACAAAAAAAAATTCTGTGATTCCCACACTAAGCATGGCCTGTCTCGTGAAGGTCAAACAAGAGATTTTTTAATACAGTTGCTTAAAAAGTGGCGTATTGCAGGGACGTATAGCGTTCGGGATGTGGGCTATTACATACTGGAGCTTTTTCTTTACCTTTACCGAACTCGTGCGTTCTCTTTCCCAACTGTCAAAATTATGTCTATTAAAAAAAAACAACCACGAAGTTTTTACTAAAAAAAAATCATAGAAGTTTTCATGGTTCATGCAAATATTTCTAAAATGAAGCTACTAATTTGTTTCAATATCAAATTTAATGATTTGATTCAATGAGTTAGGTTAGGTTTCATTTCATTTTATCTCATTAAATTTCATTTTAATTTCATATTAATAAAAAAATTGTACTAAAAACTTGGCTGTATGGGCATAGTTTCTTGGTCTGCCGGATGCTGAGTATTATACTGGGCACAGCTTCAGGAGGACCTCTGCTATATTATTGGCAGATTCAGGAGCCAATTTGACGTCCTTAAAGCGACTAGGAGGTTGGAAGTCAGACAAAGTTGCACAAGGCTATATTGCTGATTCATTAAACAACAAACTAGAAACTGGGAAAAAAATCACACAATCCATTAATTTAAAATCCAGTCCGTCTCCTTCACATGACAATATTGAAGAGAACGTTCGTCCATCTAACTTCGTTGAGGCTCAGGCTTTCCGCACTCGTAATGAAATATACTATTACAATAGAACAAAATGGCTATTTGTCGAAATTACGTAAAACAGTTATGCTTAGCAAGTGTAGTGCGTGTGTGTGTGTGTGTGTGTGTGTGTGTGTGTGTGTGTGTGTGTGTGTGTGTGTGTGTGTGTGTGCGTGCGAGCGTGAGTGCGTGTGCGTGTGTGTGCACTCACGCGTGTGTGTGCGTGCGTGTGTGTGTGTGTATGTGTGTGCGCGCGCGAGCGTGAGTGCGTGTGTGTGTGTGCGCGCGTGTGTGTGTGCGTGAAAATAATTAAATAAGAACATTTTATAATTTTTAGAATTGTCTGTCTGTCTATTTGTCTGTTATTATATGAACGCATCACGTCTAAAATAAACATCTTTTATTTTCAAAGAAATCGTTAAGAAAATCATAAAGCGTATCTTCGAGTTACATTTAATCTTTGTTTTATTAAAATTGGTTAAGTCTATCGAAAGTAATGATTATTATTTTGAAATGTAGGTTCGAATTTGTTCAATGGCGCCATAAAATCTCAGAAATAGTAATAAAAAGATTTGTGTGTAAAAAAAAACGTTCCATAGTAATTAATATATTTATACTTAAAACACAAAAAGAGATATAAAAAGGATGTTTTCTCACACAAAGGACGTAATAGATGGAGTTGTACAAATTACAAACTTTTCTGAATTGCTGTGTTGAGATTTTTCGCCGATGAATCGTATTGAGACTTACTGAAGAAATTTGTAACCATCGAAGCCATACAACGGAACCCGACCAAAAATAAAAATTTTGCAACGAAATGTCGTGATATTGTATATTTATAATATACGCAAAATCAGTACTGCCATTTTAGCGCTTTGGGAACTAGATTTAGCCCTTTTTTGGAATGTATAGCGCGCATTTCGTAATTTTAGCACCTAGCTTAATCCAGCGCTTTTTGGTGTATTTAGCACACATTTCAATATTTTAGCGACTAGCGGGTTATTAACTATTTATAGCAGCACTGTTAGTCCACATTACCGATAATAATAATAATGACCTTTATTATTTTTTCCCACAAATAGTACATTGCAGTTTATCTTTTTCAAACATATTTTTTCCACAAAGCAAAGAGCATGGGAGACGAGTCCAAACTAGGATACCCTGTGCTATGGATCTCCTGGCTTCCCCTTTAGGATGATCAACTTGATTTTTTTACCGACGACTATAAGCGGGGAAATCCCCTTTATTAAAGTTTTCATTCATGGTTTTGGCAACGCATTTATTTTGCTTTATTCAGTTTCAGTCAGTTGCTTAGAGCACAGCTAAGTTAAAAGTTACTTAGAAGTTATAACACAAAGAAACTGTGTAGCAACCGCAATCAGATGCTGACATCTGAAACTAAGTTGCGAAATACATTGCACTTTAAAACAATTAATGACATTTTTATTGTTCGTACCAAAGAGAATATAATCACTACGTTTAGTTCGTACAGTACTAACTACTGTTGACAGCAATTGCCATAATTATAAGTCGATGTCCTGCGAAGTACCCATACGAAGTAACATCAAAAAAATATTGCCAGAAAAAATACTTAATGTTGTTTTCTTTATTATGATTATATAAAAAAACACAAACTTTGTTTGTAGTTAATTTAGCGCGATATCTAGGGCTTTTTTAAAGCGCTGTTTTCATGAAATCTAGCGCTTTTTGTGTTGTCCTAGAGCTGAATAAGTTTTCTTTAGC